GGAGTGGAGAAGAGGGGCTCGGGTGAGGAGAAGGTTGGCCAGCAGTGGAGGTAAGGGGAAGGGAGGGAAAGGGGAGGAGAACCAAGAGTCACCGGTGGTGACTGTTGGGTACGACGGGTGGCCTCTCCTAGGCTCCACCAATTCTCTAACTCTCTCTCTCAAGCTCTCTCATAAGCTCTAAGAAAACAAGTGCAGGAATTTTTTTTTCATAATCATTCATTAATCAAAACATCAGACAAGAGGCTATAAATAGCCAAGTACAATGGACTCAAAGAAAAGACCAACTTGCCCTTTGGGCTCACAAACGACAATTCCAACTAAACGGGTACAAACGAAAAAACCAAAATGACACTAAGCAAATAGAAAAATACATGAATAATAAAATAACATAAATGACTCAGAAATACAAAGACTCGATCGTGGCTGTAGATCAGCGGCCACGCCTCTGATAAACCTTCAACGAGCTGATGTCCCCATCATTAACCCACCATGCCTAAGAAAACTTTCATGACGCTTCTTCACCTGAACGCATGGGAACAATGAGTATGTATGCATGTCATATTTTGCACGAAGTGTTGTTAACGATGAGGTGCAACGAAGGATAAAATTTTAAGAACATACTATATTTTTAGTGGCAATGGTCTAAATTTTTTTTAATGAGCCAAATATGTTGTTCGTGCTTTGTGAGAAAAAAACATACATTATAACTATGGGAGAGAGTAATTGAGCATAGATTACGACGTGATACTAATGTTTCTTAAAATCAATATGGATTCATGCTAGTAGGTCAGCTATTGAAGATATACATTTATTAAAAGGTTGCTGGAGAAGTTGATGAGGGCATCAGCAGGAGATTTCGGCGCGTTTATCAGAGGAGACATTGGAGATCAACGGCTACGATCAAGAGCTTATATTTTTTAGTCATTTTATGTAGTAGTTTCTTTTTATTTTCAGTTTTTATTGTTTTACCCTTATGGGTGGTCATTTTATGTAGGGGTGTCAATATTTGACATGACCCGAAAACCCGACTCGAAAATTTCGGCTTATGGTCAACCTGAACCCGAAAAGGGTCGTGTTCGGGTTCAACATTTCGACCCGCTTCAAAAATCAGGTCGGGTTTGGGTTAACCCTTTGACCTGATTTTGACCCGGCAACCCGAGATTGACCCGATTTTGACACATTTTTTACCCGAAAAAGATGAGATATACCCGTTTTTTACCCGAAAACTAGCAATTTTTTGTTGGAAACAGATCATTCTGGTCGTGTTGGGTTGACCCGAATAGTGCCAGGTCAGTTTCAGGTTCGACCCGAACCCGACCCGTGACCCGAAATTGACACCCTTAATTTTATGTTGTAGTCCCAAGGGCAATTTAGTCTTTGTTTCTTTTCTTTTTGGTGAGACCTATATATAGGTCATTTCTATTGTATTTGGGATAATGAATGATTGAAATGAAATTTTAGTTTTCTTTGCTTGATCTCTATGTGAGTTCATGAGAGGAGAGACCCTAAGTGGGTGCAAGCAATACCCGTCAACCGTGGTGGATTCCTTGGTTCGTGGTTCGTCTTCTTCTTTTCTTCTACGCCCCACTCCCTCAATTCCACCATAACACCCGTCGGCCTTCACCTTCCACCTCTATTCTTTTTTTTTTCCTCAAAAGATTAGCCTCCTCCTTGAACCCCTACCGCCGACCCACCTTGGCTCCCAAGCCGCCGGCCTCTAGTCAAGGCCCAACGGCCGACCCCAAGCCCGCCGGCCCCCTCCTCCCAACCTACCCAACCTGCCGGCCACATTTTCCCTCCCACATTTTGATTTCAAAATACCCATAAATGTTTTCCTAATTTGGCTCACCTAATTTAGGAATAGAATTAAGTTCAAATTCAAATTTGAATTTCAAACTATTCTTAAATTATTATCCCATAAATTAAGAGAAACCTCCAATTAGTTTAAATATGAAATTAATTCCAGATTTAATTATTCAATCCCCTTAATTACTTGGGTCCACCTCATTAATACTCAATCCCTCCCTCTTCCTCTCTCCTTGGTCAGCCAATCAAACCCCCCCCCCCTTTTTTAATTAATTAGATCGCATGAATTAAGGATCTAATTAATTCATTTCCTCCCCACTTTCCCTCATAATCTCCACTAAATTCAAATTCAAATTTCAAAGGAGATTAATCCCTAATTATTCCCTAAATTTGAAATTAATTTCAGATTTTATTTTTCTCCTTCTCCCCTTAGCTTGGCCGACCCCTCCTCTCCCTCTCTTCATTTTCTCATGGACAAATATGCATGGCCAATCCGGATGTTGATCATAGATTCGTCTTTGATTCCCAAGGACGTGTGGACGTTTTGAGATCGCCTTTATGTGACGTCAACATAGAGATCGACGCAACCGTTGAAGATTACGTGGATCGGATACTATTTTCTCTATCAACCGCCATCGACGAATACTACCTTCCATCCAAGTGGCAACTCTTACATCTTCCACCGACTCCTCCAACTCCGACTAGTTTTCCCGTGGACAGTATTGCAAGCTCCCTCTACCTCGTGGTAATCACGTCAGTATTGCTAATATCTTTCTTCTGTTAGCCGCAAGAGTGCTTGAGTGAGGGAAACTAAAGGCGACTTTTCTAAATATTAACCCTCGGATTATTGTTAACGTGCATTTGTCATTACTCACATGTTTGGTATTGTTTTAAATTGTCTTGCCTAACGAGTTTGTAACACTACCTAAGCAACTTTGCAACTGAGATTTCATTAAATCATTAATTGTGACTCGTTAATCTTTATATTGACTTGCTTCTTCAGTTGTCTTATTGTTTCTCCGTGCAATTCCGATTTCATTTCACATCAGAAGTATAGAGAGAATAAGGAGGATCTACATATGATAGTTATTGATTTAGAAAAAGCATATGATAAAGTTCTAAGAGAGATGCTCTGGAAAGTTCTAGAACAAAAAAAGGAATTAATAATGCTTACATTCAAGTCATTAAAAAATTGTACGCATAAGTTGTTACTTGTGTCCAAACACAAGGTAGTTTGACCAAGTATTTTTCTAATTCAATTGGATTACATCAAGGATCAACTTTAAGCCTATATCTTTTTGCTTTCGTAATGGATGTTCTTATTGCCCCACGTAGTGGGATAAAGGCTTGATGTTGTTGTTGTTGTTGTAATGGATGTTCTTACTAGATGTTTGAAAGAGGATGTAACCCAGTGTATGTTTTTTGTTGATGATATTCTTCTTGTTGATAAGACTACAGAGGAAGTTGAAGGAAAGCTTGAATTAAGGAGGTTAACCGTTTTCATTTGAGTAGATCTAAAATCGAATACATGAAATGTAATTTTAATAGTAATAGATATAGGGGGGTTGTGATTTTAGGCGATGAAGCCATTAAAAAGAGTAAACGATTTAGATATCTCACGTCTTTTGTTCAAAGTGCTGGTGAAATAAATGAGAATATTATTAGAAGAATCCAAGTTGGATGGTTAAAGTGGAGGAATGCATTGGGCATGTTGTGTGATAGAAAAGTACCCTTCAAACTTAAGAGAAATTCTATAAAATGATGGTGAAACCTGCAATGCTTTATGACACAGAATGTTGGTCATTAAAAAAGAAGCATAAAATTAAGTTAGATGTTGCAAAGATGAGGATGCTCAGATAGATGAGTAGCTTTACTCTTAGAGACAATGTGAAATGAGTATATACATGAAAAGACTGGAGTAGCTTCAATGACAGATAAAATTATAGAGAGTTGCCTTAGATTGTTTGGTCACAAAAAAAGTCGGCCTTCCGATAACCCGATTAGGAAAGTAGATGTATTAGATATGGCCTATATTAATAAAAGTAGAGGAATACCTAAAAAGACTTGATTATAAAGTATTAGAAATGACATTTCTTTATTAGATTTAAATGAGAATGTGACTATTAATCGGACAAAATGGAGAAAAAAATGATTTATGTAGCTAACCCCATATAGTGAGATAAAGGCTTGATATTGTTGTTTTGTGAGAAAAAAATTAAAATTATTTTTATTTAACTTTAGGACTATTAGGTTTTTTATTTCCAATTTTTTTATATATTTTCTCTTTGATTTCATTTAAGCTTTAATTTGGTTGGTAATTAAATTTTAAAATTTTAACTTAAATGCATTTTTATTTTATATTTTAGATTAAATTCTAATTTTATTTAGATTGTATTTGATTGTAAGTTTTAAAACCATTTTTATATTAAGTTTTATATTCCACCTATATTGATCATCAAAACAGTCCAAATAAAATTGTTTGCATCAAAACCGAATGCCATTTCCAAGGATCTCGAAATTATTATTCTTTTAATAATATGATATGGCGGAAGAACGGGAGCATAGAGGCTGGTCCAACCCAACCAGTCATCTAAGGCAGAATCAGCCCTTGGACTGGCGGAACTCTCAACAAAACCAAGGGATTCCCCCCCCCCCCGCTATATATTCCTCTAGTCCACGTTAAGAATCATCAAAACTGCACATTTGATCTCAACTTCTCAAACAGTATCTACACAGCTATATACAGAAAACACAAAGGTTTATGGTGTTAAGAGCTACTTTCAGTTGCAACGTGCCCATGCTAACAGTCTTATGCTTTGCTTATGAGTAACGACCGCAAGTTCTATTTTTTCTAAACTACAGCAGAGTACCACCATGCAAAGTGCAACAATAATATATAATCGGAAGAATATATCAGCAGCATAAGCAGCAGCTCGGAGATTCAAAACTTTGGAAGCCCCCAAAAATGTCAAGCAAATGAGAAAATGTTTTTTTAGAAGAATATAACAGCAGAAGCGACAGCACAGAGATACAATACCTTGGAAAAACTTTCAATTTCCAGCAGTACTGATAAGGAAGAAAACAAAGAGGTGGTCCAAAATGTGGCATATAAATGAGATATTTGCAAATCTATGTTGTTCCAAGCAATAAAACAAAGCATATAAAATAAAATAAAATAAAAATTTTAAACTTACAATCTCACATTATAGTAGAGCATTGGAGCAGCAAAAAGAAACATCATCCAGTGACCCGATACCAGAAAGAGCAAACATAAGATTCCTTGAAGCACAAACTCTGGTAAAATCACTGCATTTATCCTTGAAGATGAATCGTAAGGGTTAATGTAATCAAACTCTAGATCCGCCAAAGACATCAGCTGCAAAAACAAATGTATAAAGCAAAGGAAAAAATTAAATAAATGAGTGCAATGCTG